ATCCCTGTAGAGAAACTCCAAGAATCTGTCTCCCTGCCGAGTCTAAGGAACCGGCGGCCCCCTCTCTCTAAACATGAGGAAGAAAGCTAAGGGTTTCTAAAAGAACCAGAAGTTGGTTCTCTGTGATAGTCCGTCTAGTTTGGACCCACGCTCCCCGGCCTGTTTCGGAGGTCGGGTGGGTCGGGGAGGGAGGAGCCTAAGAGTGGTTTTTCCCTCCCTGTTCAAAAACCTTATCATCAGCCAGGGGGGTACTTGCCCTCCATTTCCCCCAACACCCAGGCTACTGTTTTTATTTAATATCTGCTTAAGCAGGCAGGGGTGGCTTGGTGCCTGCACATGTTGCTATGTGGTGGTGAAAGCAGAAGTTCATGGCGCAAGGGCCCTCCGTGCGGGGGGGAGGTCCTGGTGGGGGCCTTGGAGCCTGGTTGCTGTTACTCTCCAGCTGCTTGCTGTCTTGCAGTGAGAGGGGCTTGTGCCAGCACAGATATTTTTATTTATTTATTTATTTATTTATTTATTTATTTATTTATTTATTTATTTATTTATTTATTTATTTTCAGCACAGATATTTTTAAAGAGGACCCTAGTAAATAGTGGTGGGCTTCTCCATCCTGAGATGCCAGCTTAGCAGTCCTCTGACCCCAGTGGAGGAGCAAAGCCACCGTGGAGTGGGATTTAGGGCTGTGTTTCTTTTCCTCGTCAGGAGCTCCGGAGAACCTGACAAGAAACTTGATCTAGTCTGTCTAGCATCAGCACTCACCTTCTGGGGCTTCAAAATGCATTTGTTTTTGATTACATGAGTAATACATGAAAACATTCTCTTTGTAAACAGTTGAGGCATTAAAAAAAGCTAAAGTCCATCCCAGGCCTTCCCCTCCCCTGGCCTCTGAGGCTGAGTCTCAGTTCCTCCACCGCTTGGCCTAATTAACCCCTGTGTTGCTGTCCAGGAGGAGGCCAGTGGAGGTGGGGGACATGACAAAGTGCGGAACCTGCAGAGTGAGGTGGAGGGAGTCAAGAATATTATGACCCAGAATGTGGAGCGCATCCTGGCCCGAGGAGAAAACTTGGAACATCTCTGCAACAAGACAGAGGATCTGGAAGCCACCGTGAGATGGGGAGCCCACGGTTGGGGGGGTAGAGGAAGAGAGGAAGGGAGGATTGTTGGGTTTTGGGGGGTTGGTGTTGTTGGGGACAAAATGAATAGGAGGGAAGTCTGTCTTTTCACTTGTTTTGGAAATTGAAAAGCAAGTCCCCAGTTCGATTCTGCTCTACTCCACTGATACTGGTACTGGGGTCCAGGGAATGGCTCCAAGGACTGGCGGGGGAAGGAGGGAGTTGGGTGGGGCTGACTCTTGGAGGCATTTTCTGAGACAGCTAAGATGGCCCAGTTAGCCCTCGAATTCTTAGTCTTCTCTCCCATGAAACTGATTTTTCCCTTTGAAGGCTGCCCTTGACAATCATTTGGACCTGACCTCCCAAGGACAAAAATATTGGCTCTGGAAAATCCTCCTAGGGCCTTTGGCCTTCTCTAGGAGTTACTAGGCAGGGGGGCGGAAAACTGTTAGAGTTTTGCTGAGTCTGCTTTAAAAAGAAGCTGGGAAGAGCAGTGAAATTCTTTGATCCAGGGGTCCTCTGCTAGCTGAAGGCTAGAATAATATCTCCCACACATCTTGCTAGACCTCATTCCTCTCTCTCTCTCTCTCTCTCCAGCCAGGGGCTGAAGCCAGCTGCTCAGGGAGGGAGTAACTCTAACAGAATAGTCCAACAAAGGTTGGAGACTAAGGTTCCATGTCCACAGGGAGAGACGCTGTGGCTTTCTGAGTCCTAGGCGTCATCTTGGGTATAGTCTCCCCGGGACTTAGTGTTTCTTTCCACAGCCTAGGCTGGGGAGCACGGCCCAGGGAAATGTAATTTCTGCAACTCGAGTTGCGGAGGAAGAGTAGCAGTTTCTCTCACCTCCAGCCTCCCTGCTGCCCTGGCCTGTCCTCCAGCTTCAGCGGTCTCCATGGGGCAAGGGGTCGTGGACCCAGGGAGATGCGGCCACCTGGAGCTTGCGCTGCTTGGCCCCAGTGTGCGCCCTCCCAAGGGCGGATTGTGCAGACGGTGTTGCACCCCTGGGTGTGAGCATATGTAAAAGGCCCCTCGATGTGCATGACGGTGCAGGGGTAAGAGAAGAGGGAAGGCAGGGGGCCAAGGGGAGCCCAAGAATTCTAAATTTGAGCCTGGCCCATCAGAGTGTCATGAAGGTGTATCTGTCAAGGTAGAAGGACAGCACAGTTTTTTTGTGTAACAGTCTGTTCCCTCAACTGCTCACTTAAATATTTAGGTGGATAGCATGTGGGCCTCTGTTTGTCCTCTTGTTCCGGTGGGAGGAGGCACTGGTTCACTCTGCCTTGTCCCCAACAGTCGGAGCACTTCAAGACCACGTCGCAGAAGGTGGCGCGGAAGTTCTGGTGGAAGAACATGAAGATGATTGTCCTCATCTGCGTGGTTGTTTTTATCATCATCCTCTTCATTGTGCTCTTTGCCACCCATGCCATCCCAACCTAGGGAGCCCCTCGCCCCCGTCCTCCTCTTCAGGGCAACCCTCCATAGTGGGTGCCAAGAAGGGCCCTCTCTCCCATCCTTGCCTGCAGGGAGTGCTGCTGTGTCCCCCCGCCCCTCATCTGAGGCCCCTCTGCCACACTGTCTGCCCGAGGCACCTTGGACCCCTGGAAGGAGAGAGCTGGACTGTGGCTATGTTTCACGGGCCCTCAGAGAGCTGGTCGGAGAGGCCCCAGAAGGCCCAGCCTGGGGCTGGGAAACTGATGGTGGCCGGTGGGCAATAAAGACCTTTCAGTATCCCTACACATGTGAGGTAACTTCTCTCCTTCCATTTTGCCTTTGGCTCTTCTATTTCTTTTCTCCCTGGGGACACCCTCTGGCTGAGATTCTCCTATTTGAGGCCCCATGGTTGGAGGGGTAGAGAGTGTAAGTTTGGAGAAGAAAGATGGGGTCTCCCCATCCTTCTCTCTTTCCCATTCTTTGTCACAGGTCTTAGGAACCAGAATTTTCTGAGGCTCTCGGCATGTGGAAAAATCAAAACCATTTTAGGGTGGCATGCAAGACTCCTAAGTGTGTCCCCCTGGGGTCTCGCCATGTCCATTTATTACTTTTCTGCTGGAAGTGTTAGCCGAGGCAGGCAAGGGCCTCTTTCCATCTCTCTTCTGTGGCTCTGTTGTAGTCAAGAGTGAGGGGTTGGAGGAACTGGGCCACTTTTCCTTCTTTTTGGTTCTGCAAAGTTCTTTTTATTTATTTCTTTTTAATTTTTAAATTTACGTAATCTCTACACCCAACATGGGGCTTGAACACACGACCCTGAAATTAAGAGTCACATGTTCTTCTGACTGAGCCAGCCAGGCGCCCCTGGTTCTGCAAAGTTCTATTTGTCTTTTGTCTGCCCCTGCCCCTGCCCTTTTGGGACTTAGCAGGGCCTCCGGGTCTCAGCTGAGGGGGCGAGCATCTCTCCTCATGGCTCGTGGCTGGGCCCAGTCAGTGTCACAGGACAGGGCCTATGGCCCTCCTTCCCCTCCATGTACAATGGGCCTCTTTGTCTTTGGGCTTCTCTCTTCTCCACCAGGTTCCACCTCATTGTCACTCTTTCCTGTCTTGGTTTGGGGAAAGGATTCTTGCCCTCTCTGTCCCTGTTTCTCCTGTGGGCTTTCCAGTATTGAAAACAACCTGTATAGAAGGGATAGGGTTGGGAGACAGGATTTGGGACTCCTCCTGGCAAGTCAGGTTCTGGAATCATACTCTGAAAACCAGGGAGAAAAAAAAAAAAAAGGCACAGAAAAGTCCTCAGGGCAGACTTTGTCCTCCTATAGCGGACTGTGGCCATCTTCTCTCCTCAGGTCATTCCTGGACTCAAAGTCCACAGAACTGGGGTGAAACCTCTTCCTTGGGATCTAGATTGCCCAGGGTGGGAATATGGGCTGTACTGACGTGGGCTCAACCCAAGGAGGGAAGCCCTCAACCCCCTTCCCCAAGAGGGGCCACAGTTGAGATGGTGGGGTGGAGAACAGGTGTCTCAGACTCCACTGCAGAGGAGAGGGGGAGAATGGGTGGATTCAGCTCAGGAAGGCTCTGGAGGGGTGGCTTCGCCCATCCTCCCTCCCACTGAGGAGCAGGGTCATATGAGGGCAGGGCTGCAGCTGCCCTGTGGTGAAGAGGGAAATACAGAAAAGCCAGAACTAGCACCTTCTCCCCGGGGTTCTGTTTTCTTTTTGAATGGGGGTGAAATTCACAGAACATACATTGTGTAAGTGTACATACAACTGTAACAGACAGTGGTACCGTTTTTTTTTTTTTTTTAAAGATTTTATTTATTTATTTGAGAGAGAGAATGAGAGAGAGAGAGCGCACATGAGAGGGGATAGGGTCAGAGGGAGAAGCAGACTCCCTGCTGACCAGGGAGCCCGATGCGGGACTCGATCCTGAGACTCCAGGATCATGACCTGAGCCGAAGGCAGTCGCTTAACCAAGTGAGCCACCCAGGCGCCCTACCATTTTCCGAAATATACAATTCAGCGGCAGGTAGTGCGTTCACAATGTTGATTGTGAATAGTTTCTTTCGTTCCAAAACTTTTCTTCGGGGAGTCGGGTTTGGGTTACCGGTGAATGCACTCACCCAGGTGGCAAAGACCCGGCCCGGCTGGCTGTTCGAGGCGTCTCTAGCACAGTGCCCAGCGTTGGCACGGATACAGAGGCTCGTGGAACGAGCGATAGGAGCCCACTCCACTGTGCGCGGGTCACAGATTGGGCCCCCGACGTGTGGCCAGCGTGCCGCGCGAGCACCAGGCTGCTCAGGCGTGAGGCCCCCAGTTCCGGAGGCTGGGGGAGCCGTGCGAAGCTGGGCCGGGTGCCGGCAGCTTTCGCTTTGCGTCGGTCCGGGTCCGGGCTCCGGGCAGGCGCGCCCCCCGCCCCCGCCCCCGCCGGCCGCGGCCCCGCCCCTCCGCTTCCTCCCGGGTATCTGGCACCGCGGCCGCTGGGCGACAGAAGAGCCCGAGCTGGCGAGGCGGCGGCAGCAGCTATGGTGAGGGCCCGGGCGGGGCGGAGCCGGCCGGCCGGGGGGCAGAGGGCGGTGTGGGGGTGCGCGGCCGGAGGCTGAAGTCCGAGGGCGGGGGTGTCGTCCGGGACCCGCGCCGGTCCCCCCTCCACCACTAAAGCCGCGGCCAGGAGCCGGATGGGGGCCAGAGCCTCCACTGGGGGCGCGCAGGCTGGGAAGGGAAAGTTTGATCGCCTGCGCGCAGTGTGCATGACTCCGGCTTCCCCCTTCCCTGAGCTAAGTGGTTACGAGCCCGGGCTTCGGAATCAGACTCCGGGCTGAGATCCTGGTGGTGGCCACTTACTGGCTCTGTGACCCCGGGCCAGTCACTTAACCTTCCCGAGCCATCTTCTCCGCATCTGTGAAGTGGGGTCAGCAATACCTGACTTACTGGGTCCTTGCGAGGTTAAGGGAGATAAAATGGCAGAGCCCTGCCTGGCACCCAAAACCTGCTCCTGAGGAGTGGTAGGTAATGTGATGACCTCTTCAGCCCTTCCCGGAGCTGTGAGAAGCCAAGTGTGGCCCGGGAGTTGGAAACCTGAGCAGATGGGGTGGTAGAGGCCTTGCCAGCGCCGTGGCAGTGTATTGGAGGGCACACTCCTTTCCCTGCGGAAAGATAAAGGGAGATGTTTACCATAAAAGTTCCCCTGAAGTTATCAGACTATGGCACAGTCCTGGCTCTCTCCTAACCTCTACCGAGGGACACATTCTTAAGGTGAGTCATCCCCCATTACAGCTGCAGACTCTGGCCTGTGTCCCCACTTGCCAATTCTAAGGCAAAGGTGTCAGCAACAGGTGGTGCCAGTAGCTTGCCTCCATCCCCTGGACTCCTGGGAAGATAGGCTGGGCAGGAAGCAGGCTTGGTGCTTTAAGCTTCTGCCCTGGAGAAACTGGCAGAGGTGTGACAGATGTGGCCTGGCTGGGGGTCGTGATGCCTGGATGGCCTCATCTCTAGGGAACTGGAGGCAGGAAGAGGAAGCGGGGCAGGAAGATTGCACTGAGCTCTAAGGCCACGCCAGGAAACTGAGGGAGGCTCCAAGAATGGGACAAAGCTCCGAGCCCACTTCCCAGCATGCAGGGCAAGGGATCAGGCAGGGCTAGGGGTGGGCTTCCAGTCAGCCTTGAGCACTTGGGGAGAAGAGGAAACTCCTGAAATGAAGGCTGAGGCCAGGATAATTTATGGGGTTTCATCTGAGGCCAACAGTGGATCAGAGCCTGGGGGGGGTACCTTGATCTTTCTCCCCTCCTGGCTCCTAGCCCCATCCCTCTGTTTCTTTCACACCTGCCCCTTTCTCTGGCCCCAGCTCTTTCCCTTTCTTCTTCCCACCCGTTTCCCTGACTGGTCTTTCTTCCTCGTCCTGTCCTCTGATTCATTCAGTCAACAAGCATTTCTTGGGCATTTCCTCTGTGCTACATGTGGTGACAGGTATAGGGGAGAGAGCAGGAGTAAATATTGATGGGAAAGATGAAACCTGAATGGGTAAGGGCTTGAATTCGTTCATCCTACAGATGGTCCTCTCTCCTGCACTGTCCAGTGAATGTGGGTTTTGAGCCACGGGCTTCCCTCATAGAGCACACAAGTTGACTTGGCCGCATTAAAAAGTCTGGGGAGTCTTTGGCCAGCCAGCTAAAGGATTTGACCCCCCTTTACCTGCATTCACTTTAGCACCGTGGTTAAGAATGTGATTCTTGGAGTCTACACTGGTTCCACTCCCGGATCGGCTACTTACTGGATGTATGACCTTGGACAGATGATTCAACCCCTCTGAGCCTCAGTTTTTTATAAAACTGGGATAATAGCGTGCCTTCAATGGATTGTTGCGAGGATTAAATAAGATAAGGTGAACAAACAGCAGGCAGCACCGTGCTTAGCTCAGAGTGTGTGCCCATTGGATGGTGGCTGTTTTCACCGTCAAGACGTAGAACCTTCTCAGCAGCCTGCAGTGCCTGGTGGACATAAGCTCCATGCAGATTATTGAAGGCCCAGGTGATGTTCTGTATTTAAGTTAGAGACAAGTGCACACGTTTGCAATAAGGAAGAGCTTGCTTGGCTGGGTATTTTGTAGAATTATTTAAGAGGTTTTATTGACCACAGGTATTGAACAGTTCTTGAGATCTGACTGCTTAAAAAAAAAAATCAGCGAGGGAAACTTTGGCTCCATCCGCAATAATAGCTATTATTTATTGAGCATTTAGTACGTGTCAGGTATTGTGCTTAGCACTTTGTAACAGGTCATATGCGTTAGCTAACATGGTAGATATCATTCTTGTTGCCACTTTACAGGTGAGGAAGTGGAGGGTCAGAAAGGTCTCGTAGTAGGTGAGGGGCAAAGGCAAGATTTGAGGGAACCCAGGGCTGCAGTGCAGGGCCCCGGCCCTTAGCTCTGAGCTCGGGTGGGTGCTGACCTAGGAAGGAGCTGGTACACCCCTTCGCTGCCCCCTGTCCTGTGACTAGGACAGTGTTGACAGCTGCAACAGGGTTTGTTTGGCACTCGCCAGGAGAGAAGGGAGACAGAGTTAGGACAGGGAGGTTGGGAGAGATTTGTCTTCAGAGGAACCAAGGGTATGTGGCCTGGAAACACCGGAGCTATTTGAGGGTTGTAGGCAGGATATTCTGTACGGAGGGTAACGGTCTGTGGAGAACATTTCCCGTGTAACTGCCACCCCCTGTCTGCCAACCACGCGGCTGCTCCGCACTCCACCGCACCCCCTCAGCCCTGCAGACCCCGGGCAGGGCTGCAATGCACCCCTCTCAGCCCCGCTCCATCTCTCTGCTGTCTGCTCCCCACGAGCCTGGCAACTCCTCACACCCTTGCTGGTGGCACCCTCCGGCCCAGGGTTCACTGCTGCCAGCCATACTAGTCTACCACGGATAGAGAAATTCTTCTTTTTTTTTAAGAGTTTATTTATTTTATTTTATTTATTTGACAGAGAGAGAGAGAGCACAAACAGGGGGAGCAGCAGAGGGAGAGGGAGAAGCAGGCTCCCTGCTGAGCAGGGAGCCAGATGCTGGGCTCCATCCCAGGACCCTGGAATCATGACCTGAGCCGAAGGCAGAGGTTTCACCGACTCAGGCACCCAGGCGTCCCTAGAGAAATTACTCTGAAGCCCCCTTCCGCTGTCCCCCTTGGCTCAGAAGTCTACACTAGGTCTTGTTCCAGTCTTCCCTCCAAGTGAGTGTCCTCTTCTGGACTTTCATTCTGTGTGTTCTCTGGCCCCACCCTGCCCCTCCGCCCTTACCCTCGGCCTGGTCTGTCTCTGTGGAATGCCCCAGCTCCACCCCATCCTGCAAGGGCTCCTCCCCCCGGGAATCCGCTCTCTGAGGGGGGCCCCGACCCTCAGCGTTGGCACCTCACAGCACAACCCTCCACTCTTCCCTAGCCGCGTCACGTATGTCTCTTTCCCCCAGCCTGTAGTGAGCTTCCTGGGAACAGGCACAACTCATTCAGAAATGTTTTTTCCCGTGTCTACTGTGTGCCAGGCACTATGCTGAGTTCACTACTGCTGGAGGGAGCGTGGCCCTGTCTCCTGGTCCCTTATCTCCATCCCCATCCTGTAGTTCTTCATTTCTCCCCATGCCAGCAGAGACCTGTGCATGGAGTTTCCTTTTTCCTCTGGTTCAGGGAGGGCCAAGGAGGGCCAGGGGGTTAAGCCTGAGGCCTCTGTGTTCCCTGGAGCGAATGTGTTCATTTTGGCCTGGTCCCACCTCGGTCCGGACAGACCTGGCTTCACAGCAAGAAGCACAGCCAGGTCTCCCGGAGAATGTGACCCAATGCCATCCCGTGTTGGAGCATCAGAGAACAACAGCTGTGGTTTTCATAGCGGAAAAAATAACATTCAGCATCCCACCAACCTCTAGCCGTGATTGTCATTTGGAAGCTTTGCCCATTCTCAGGTTTTGGCCTTGGCCCATTATGAAGGTGGGGATGCCTGGGATTGTGTTAACATGGGCCGTGGGGGTTTGTTGACTACCATGGTAGTACGAATAGTGCTGATGATGGCTGACTGAGGAAAATGTACAGATGAGCGCAGCCTCCCTGCTCTCTGCATTATTTCTCCTTGTTCCCCAGTCACTGCTCCCCAGCCTGGGAGTGCACCCCTCTGGCCTGGTTTGCCTGCCCCCTCTCCAAGCAGGTTGCTTTTCTAGCTCATGGGTAAATATTGACCTACTCGGGTTTCAGATGCCTGCCCCTCGAAACTCCTGCTGGGCTGGATAAACACACTGGGATAACATCCCTTGAAAATAAGAGTTGCTTTTGGATAGGCTATAATGTGATTGGCCCACTCACTGAGTCCTTGTAATGGTCAGCACTGTGCTGGCCCCCCTGGGCCACCGGGATGGGAGCAGACAAAGGTAGTCCCTTCCTCTGGGGCTTGTGGTCCAGTTGGGGAGATAGGACTCATATACTGGGAATGCTTGGAGGCTGTGTGCAAGGCAGCTGCAAGGATCCTGAATGTGAATTCTTGCCTGAGTAGGAGTGGCCCTCTGTGACCACCAGATCTTTCCCCTTTCTCTGGTTTTAAGTGGAATTCAGTCAAGTGCCAAAATGTCTGTTGCAGACAATGGGCAATGTGGTCTGGCAGGAAAGGGAGCTTGGCCGGTGCTCTGTGGGGAGGAGATGAGAACAGGGATGGGCTACAGGGGACTAGGCTGGGAGGAGGGAGCTGCTGTGGTTTGTGAATCTGCTGGGATTCAGCTCCGTGACTCATCCCTGGACCTGCTCCTGGACTTCCAGCTCTTACTGGGGCCTCCTGCCTTGGGTCTCTCTCAGTTGCCTGTCTAAAGCCCAGTCCCTTTCTTGCTTGTGACACACGCTCTCCTCCTCTCCCCTGTTCTCTCAGCACTCCCCACCCCTCCCACGCTTGGACCCTGTGCCTCCCTTCTTAGTCCTCTGAAATGAGCTGGGTTCTTTTGTCAGGTGTGGTTGCTGCTAAAGCTGAGAGGTCTAAGAGTTGGTCTCATCTCTATGAGTTGGACCCCAGGGAAGATCCTGGGTAGCTGGAAGGCTGAGGCCAGAGGCCAAGGAGGCTGAGGTTTCCAGGCAGACAGGGAATCAATTTTGAGCACTGATGTGGGAGTAGGGTCATGCCAGGAGGCAGAACTGGCCTGACCAGTCAGAAGGAGGTCTGACGTTTTCCGTTTGTTTCTCTGTGTGTGTCTGTGGGGTTAGGCAGAGGTTATGATGCGTGGTGGTCCAAAGCCCAGGGTAGAGGTCATCCTAGAGCAGGTGAGGAAAGTATCTGCTTTGTGGGGCAGGGGTGGGGTGAGATCCTGGGAAGTTTCCATCCAGGGGCATCTTAGAGGAAGCTGAGATGCTGTAGCCAAGGCTGACCTAGGACCTGCCTTGGTGGGCATAGAGAGGAACCTGTGAGATCAGAGGCAAGCCACAAACACTCAGGAGACCAGTCCTTCACTCTGTACATATCATACCCTTACCTGAAAGATGCTATTCCCCCTCCCCATACACGTCCCCTTCCCCGTCCCCACACACAGTGGGGGCAAGGAGGCTGCTAGGTCTCAGGATCAGATGAGGGCTGGCTGGGGGCCTCATGCAGTTCTGACCTTGGGCTTGGTGCCCAGGCAGGGACAGAGTTGGAACGGTGCCAGCGGCAGGCGGACGAAGTGACAGAAATCATGCTCAACAACTTCGACAAGGTCCTGGAGCGCGATGGGAAACTGGCAGAACTGGAGCAGCGTTCAGACCAACTGCTGGATATGGTGTGAGGCCTGGGGAAGCAGGGATGGGGGTGGGAGAGGCCAGGGGGAGTCCTCAGAGAGAGTTCTCAGGCTGTGCTCAGGGTCTCCAGGCCCTTGGTGGGGCCTGAGGCTTGCCTGAGGGCCAGTGTGGGGCCTATGGGTCTGTAGCCTAGATAAGCTCCAGGTAGGCCTCATGAAGTCAAAAGACCTTGGTTTGAAGCCATGGACCTTCCTGAAGGTTGAGGGCTGGTATTGTTAACTGTATGTGAGCCTGTAGGGGTATGAGTCAAGGGCTACACAGTGTCTGAGACCAGGAGTCAGGTTGGGAGGGTCCCAGGGTGGGCCATGTGGAGAAGGGGAGCAGAGAGGCTGGGAAGATACAGATTAGGCCTTGCTGGGGGCGGCGGGGGCGGTGCGGGGTTGGGAGAACCTGGCCCTGGGGTTCCGGGGAAACCACTAACTCCCACCCTGTGTCTGGGGATGTTCACAGAGCTCAGCCTTCAGTAAGACAACCAAGACCCTGGCCCAGAAGAAGCGCTGGGAGAACATGCGTTGCCGGATCTACTTGGGGCTGGTGGTGGGCGGTGGCCTGCTCATCCTCCTGATTGTGCTGCTGGCCATCTTTCTCCCACAGAGCAGTGGGGGCAGCAGTGCCCCACAGGCCCAGGACGCAGGCATTGCCTCAGGGCCTGGGGACTGACCCAGCCAGGCCTGGAGGAGAGGCCGAGTGGCCGCACTGGCTGGTCCTCGTCTCCAGAGAACCCTGGCGTTTGCTCCCATCTGAGCCACCCAACTGAGCACTGAAGAGCGACCCTGATGCGTGCACCTTTGCATCTCCTATCACGCCACAGACTGGCCCTTGCGGGCAGCCTGCTGCACTGGCCACTGCCAGGCCAGTCCCACCTGGAGCTCAGTAAAAGCTGCTGTTTGGTTAAAAGCTGCTGTTTGGTTAAAAGCTGGTGTGTGTGTGTGTGTGTGAGTGTGTGTGTGTGTGTGTGTGTGTGTGTGTGAGTGTGAAGCTCTCCATGTTGGTTCATCCTGCTCTGCCTCCACTCTTGGGGTTGCTTAAAAAGTCGGTAGAAGGACTTCACCCCTGGGAGGGGGCCTCTTTCCTCTTCCTTCTGTACTTGATCCAACCCTACCCAGACATATCCTTCTGGAGTGCAGGTGCAAAGACAGAGTGACTCCCAAACCAGACCCTTCACAACCAGGGCCCTCTGAGCCTGTTTCCCTCAGAATGAACTCTATTCTTTTTCTGATGTCTTGAAGGATGCTCAGAATAGGACTCCAGAAGAGGAAAGCACCTCAAAGGTTTTTTATCTCACAAGGCTCTCACTTAAAAAAAAAAAAAAAAGATTTTAGGGGCGCCTGGGTGGCTCAGTTGGTTGGGAAACTGCCTTCGGCTCAGGTCATGGTCCCGGAGTCCCGGGATCGAGTCCCACATCAGGCTCCCTGCTCGGCGGGGAGTCTGCTTCTCCCTCTGACCGTACCCCCTCTTGTGCTCTCTCTTTCGCTCTCTCAAATAAATAAAATCTTTTAAAAAATTTTTATTTATTTGAGGGAGAGCAAAAGAGAGCGAGCAAGCAGAAGTGGGGGTGGGGGACAGAAGGAGAGGGAGAAGCAGGCTCCCCACTGAGCAGGGAGCCCAATGAGGGACTCGATCCCGGGACCCTGGGATCATGACCTGAGCCGAAGGCAGTTGATTAACCAACTGAGCCACCCAGGCGCCCCCCGCCCCCCACCAAGCCTCTCATTTTTTAATAGATGTTTCCCTCTCTGAACACTCTGTCCTCAATTTCTCTCCTACATTCTTCCTCAAACTTTACACTTGATTACAGATGAGGCCGATAGCAGTGAAAATGGGAAGGGCTTCTCCGGTAACGCATCATTACAAAGGATAGCCTAGAGTTTGCCCTGTAGGCAAGAATTTGGCCTTTTCAAAGCTCCAGGGCCACACAGGGCTAAGCTGGCAGGGCCTCAGGGTCACAGGAAAGATGACCGGGTAAAGGCCATGGAAGAAGGAAAGAGTGCGGGATCTGGGCAGTCTCTGCCTGGGCTACTTGACTGCACCTCAAAGTCAAGTGTGGGTGGAAGAGGAATTCAGAGTCAAGTGTGTAACAACAGAAGCAGTTCCTTGTTAGGTAAAGTGAGAGCTTCTGACAGAAACAACGAAGCTGAGAGCTGTGTGGAGCTTTACCTCTCACAGAGCTTGTTACTTCCATGGGAATCATTACCATCTTCTTTTCGGAAAGATGGGGAAAAACACTTGGCCCTGTAGTTGGTCAGCAACACCACTTAAAGGCCATGTGAATTTGGGCAAGCCACTTCTGAGGCTTGGGTTTTACATATGTAAAAAGGGACATACTTAACTCCCAGAACAATTGTGAGGATTACTTATATTGTGTGTAAAACATCCATCAATGGAATGGTTCTAGATGCCAAATAAATGATAGCTATCATCCAAATCATTTAGTGCAGTTCTCAACCCTGCCTCACATTAGAATCACCTGCAGAACTTCTAAAAATACCACCCCTAGGCCTAGATCAGTGAGTACCAGAGCTAAGATTTAAATCCAAGTCTGCGGGATGCCTGGGTACCACCCATTAGCCACTGGCCTACACAGCTTCCTTATGGGGCCTAAATCAGTTAAATCAGACTCTTTGAGGGTAAGTATCTGACGCAGGGTTGTTTTCCCCTAAAGCTGCAACCCCTCGTTCTCTCTCCAGGATAGTCATGGGTAGCCAGGGAGGCAAACCGCTTATTGAATTCAAGCCACTGATTTCACAGAAGCTCGGGGAGAGGCTGCGCAAGGGGCTGAAGGTCACACACATAGTCCCACGTGAGGGTAAGGCCCCAGATTCCCCAGCAGGGATCTTCCCTCCCTCGGTGGGGGAGTTTTGTCCCACCCCTTATTGTGCCTAACACAGAAGAGGTAAGCAGGAAATTTTTGTTTTGCGGGTCAGAGGGGAATCAAGAGCCAACTCCTGAACCACTTAGCAGCAGGTGAAGTACCCGGCAGAGTAGTTACTCAGGCCAGGTGGAAATGACCCGGTAAAGCCAGATTCCAAGTGGCAGTGTGGACTTCCGTGCTTGTTCCTAACGAATGTACCGGGACCGGGCAGAGCAGCGGGAAACGCCGTGATTCCAGGTTGGCAGTACCCTGAGCCCCTGCGCCAGCGCCTCGCTCTCTGGAGGGCCTCTAGCACCTGCACGTCCTAGGCCCTCTGAGCCGCAGAACGGACTGACAGGACCCCTACAGCCCCGACATCTGGCTTTCCAAGGCGCTGTGGACGCGAAGCACACGTCACTCGCAGACCGCCGACTCTAGGTTCGGAGTCCAAAACAGAGGTTTTCTGACCGGCCCCAGCCGCTGCCATTGGCTTTAGCCTTTGGTCACCTGATTTGTTCGAGCCAACGACGGGCAGCAGAATTAATACTTCCGCTTTCAGTGCCCCTAACGAGCCTCTGTGCCCGCCTTTTGGATGCTCTGATTGGTCTTCCTCTCTCAGGCCCGCAGCTTATTGGCCAGCGCCGCGGGGCCGCAGTCCAGCGGGGTGCGAAGGCTGTGTCAGACAGCCCGGCTGCCATGGCGTCCTATTTCGATGAACACGATTGCGAGCCGTTGGATTCCGAGCAGGAGGCCCGAACCAATATGCTGCTGGAGCTCGCAAGGTGGGTGCACGGTGCTGGGAGGTGGGGGCAGGTAGCAGGCTTCTGGGCTGGGGCTGGCCGGAGAAGGCGGATTATAGGGGGCAGAGATTCTGGGGAGGACGGATGAACAATCTGGAGAGTTAGTCCGGAGACGAGATTCGAGGAAGGTCGATAATTTGGATCCTCCGTGGTTGGGCCGGGCAAGGGGATTGTGGGAAAGACTGGAGCTGGCGAACAGGGGGGAGTCGGGAGCGGGACGGTAGCCGGTTCTAGCAGGTACGGGAGAAGACGGGTCATGGGGTCTGGGGAGGGGCCTTGTGGGTGTGAGTAGGTACATTCGTTAGGAACAAGCACGGAAGTCCACACTGCCACTTGGAGTCTGGCTTTACCGGGTCATTTCCACTTGGCCTGAGTAACTACTCTGAGCCTGTTGCCTCATGTGTAAAATGGGACTAACCAGCTTGCATGCTTGGGGTTGTCTTATAGCAACTGTAAACCATTTCCCACTGTGCTTTTTATCTACTGAGCACTTTTGTGGGGTAGCTGTTAGTACTAGCTGTTCAGGGTATTTATCTGTTAATGCCTAGTGGATTGTGGGGGCAAAGAGAAAGGATGGTTTTCTTTGGTTCTGAACATGCGTCCTTCTTCCCAGGTCACTTTTCAATAGGATGGACTTTGAAGACTTGGGGTTGGTAGTAGATTGGGATCACCACCTGCCTCCACCTGCTGCCAAGGCTGTGGTTGAGAACCTTCCCAGGACAGTCATCAGGGGCTCTCAGGCTGGTAAGAACGCTAATTCTTTCTGCTGTTTGGGGCAGGCGTGCCAGACCCACCCCCTCCCAAGCTAGACTGGTCTAGCCCTTCAGTTTTCCAGGTCAGGTTGGGGCAAGAATGTCCTTCAGGCGTGGGAGCCGGGAGGTAGGGCCTGTAGCAGCTCTCCTGATCAGCACTCCCTCCTAAAGAGCTCAAGTGCCCCGTGTGTCTTTTGGAATTTGAGGAGGAGGAGACTGCCATTGAGATGCCTTGCCATCACCTCTTCCATTCCAACTGCATTCTACCCTGGCTAAGCAAGGTACTGCTTCCTTTCTCTCAGCCCTCACCCTGCCCTGGGCCCAGTTTTCAAGCCTCTTTCTGTTTATGGACTTTTAGGGGATCAGAGAAGGGAGAGGGGTAGGGGTGGGAACTGGGAGCAGGGGATGGATATTAGCTGATGAAGACCAGACCTGGGCTGGAACACTGCCCTCCTTTTCTCAGACAAATTCCTGTCCCCTGTGCCGCCATGAGCTACCCACTGATGATGACACTTATGAGGAGCACAGACGAGATAAGGTAGGGGCTGGTGGTAAGTGGAGAGGTTGGGTGGTAATGGGGACCCCCCAGTCCCTGTCCTCAGTGTTCTCATTCCCTACCTTAGCAGCCCTGGGTCGGCCTCAGGGTTGCTGGCTCTGGTCGTCTTCCTGGTGACTTTGGCAAGGGACAAGAGCCTTGGCAATGTACATGTTAGGGGCCTGAACAGTGATAGGCAGCCCCATGATAGCTGTCCCATCACTCCACCCACAGGCCTTCAGGTATGGCTCATGCCCAGTGTAACTCTTTCCTTCAGGCTCGCAAGCAGCAACAAAAGCACCGACTTGAGAACCTCCATGGAGCCATGTACACATGAGGTGCCTGGGGCGGAGCACCTGTCTGCCACAGCATCTTCCTCTTGCACCTGAATCCTCATTAAAGATTCCTTTACCCACCCTGCACTGCATTGCTCACAGGCCTGGGCAGGGCCTCTGCACCCTCCATAAGGTCCCTACTGCTATTGGGGAAGATAGGCGTGAACCACGGAAAGCACCAGGCTGTGTGTCCCTTCCTGCCAAGCCTACTGGCCTGAGAGCAGTGGAACCCAGGTCAAGAACCTGGCCACTAGACCAGCCAGTGCTTGGGCCTATATGCTCATCGTTGGAAAGCAAAATGGGTCAGGGTCTGGCATCCAGTGGCTACTTACAGATGGTGAAGAAAAATTAGCCTACATCTCTCTCCCCTGCAATTTTTAGTCAACCTTGGAATCCCACAGGCTTTCTTTAGCTTCATTGTGAAAATTGCTTCTAGCATTTTAAAGTTGTTCTATGAATGACCCCACCCCCGCCAATATCCCTTACTAAGGAAGCCAACTTCAAACCACACTCTGAGTGGGGGAAGGATCACATCAATTCTTCAGACAGTTTAAAGGCCCAGAAAGGGTTTCAAGCCCTTGAGGGGTATTTGGATGGCACCAGGCATCCTTTATTCTTGGCAGCCCTGCTCTCAAAGAGCATTGGGCACTCAGGACTCTTCCCTGAGGGCAGGGGTTTCCTCCCATCCTTTGCCTAGGGAGGCTTAGGCCCTCCCTTGATTCTTTAGAACATACTACAAACATGCAAATTAGAATTCTTTTAATAGATTAAAAAAAAAAGTACTAAAATACCCATGTGGTTCTGCTGTATTATTTGCCCAAAAGAAAGTAAGGGGCAGAGTGAAGAATCCCAGTGCACCTCAGTGGGCCCAAAAGTGGGCCTTCCCACAGACTTCTGTCCCTCTTGCTGTTCCCAGCCCCCAATTTCTGCAGCAGGAAACCCCAGTGGTGTGGCCTTGGCACTGGGGAGTAGAAGGCACCTGAAGGGCCGGCTGGGTGAGTGAGGATATGTGACCTTTAAACATAAAAACAACACTGCAGAGTTGGGGAGTAGGTTGTGTGTGGTCCAGGCCGCCGCCAGGCCTGCTCCGCTATGGCACAGGTGGGCATGGGATGGCCACTCCTCCAGCAGCAAGGAAGCCTATATCCCAGCAGAATACTTTCTCAAAATTGTTTTTGGTACAAAATAAATGCAAAGTTAAGAAGTGGGGAGCTGCTGAGGCTGGGCCAGCCACCCTCCCCAGATCTCAGATCATGGTGATGCTTTCGGGAGCACAGTTGAGGTGAGTGGAGGTGCTACAGCTCCCGGAGGACTTGCAGGCCCGGCCAGGGGCAGGCTGCAGCGCAGCCACCAGTGTCTCTGAGGAGACTGCCCCAAACTCATAGCTGAAGGTGCCGTAGAAAATGAGGATGTCAATCACAAACACCCACTCGCACAGGGCTGCCCCGTGCTGCAGCTGAGAGCTCTCATGCATAAAGAAGACACCGCCTGGAATGGGGCTAAGGAAGTGTTCAGTAAGACACGTGGGAGCTGGTGACAGTTCTATCTTCCCAGGTAGATAGCTAAAGCTGGGGCAAAGAGCCAGGTCTCCCCACCAGGGAGGGGAGGAAGGAAACCGCACTGGGCAGTATTTTCTGGATATACGGATGCCAGGCTCTCCCCCACCCCCCGGGTCTCGGGTGGGGAAAGTCTGGGCTAGAGGAGTTCCTGGCTGCACTGTCCTGGAAGGATACTGAGGACTAGGGTGACAAAGGCGATGGCTGCCAGTACAATCCGCAGGTAGGCCATAGCCAGGTCCTGGGGGGCAGTGGCCCCATGGTAGGAGAGGGCACAGTGCAGGCAGACGAAGAGCAGCCCGGCGGGGAAGGCCACACCAGTTCCGATGTAGTGCAGAGACTTCGCATGATCCACCTGGGCCCGGAGAGAGGGGCTGATCTGTGAGGCAGCCCCCCCTCCACCACCCCTCTTTTCCCTGCTCCCTTCCCTCCCAGCCCCTCTCTCCCCACCCTCAGCCTTGAAGGGCTGTCTCTGCAAATGGGGTCAGCCTTCAGGGGACTAAGGGCACAGGCAGAAGCCAGGCCCCGTTAGTAAAAGTTGAAGAGGCAGGCAGGCGGGCACACCTGGAAGTTGCCGACCACCACGAGGCCCGCAGCATTGGTGCAGCCCGTGATGAGCGTTGTGGTGTTAACCCAGGAATGACGACTCTGCTCCAGGAGCTGCCCGTAGAGCAACAGGCAGATCAGGACCACTGGGGGAAGACAGCACAGGTGGGGCCGGCACTGGGGCCCTCCTCCCACCAACGCCCCCACCCCTATCCCCGCCAGACACTCCTGAGGGCTGAAAGGGAACAGAAGGGCAGGGTCTCCTCGGGCTCTGGCCAGCGGGGTGGCTGTGTGGGAGCCTTCGGCTCTTGTTAAAGGAACAGGAGAGAAGTGGCCCCTCTTGCTTTAGCCCTTGGTGGGGTGGGCTACACTGAACAAGGGTTTCCTGGGCCTCTCTGGGGGGGGTGGGGAGTGGGTTGGACTGGGCTGGCTAGGGGGGGCTGAGGGCACAACTCACCCATGAAAGCACCCATGTTGCCAATGAGGCTGAAGAGGCAGCTCTCTGGGGGATATGTGCCACACTTGCTGGGGGCGGGGGGCAAGGACAGAGTGAGAGAGGGCAGGAGGAGGACGAGCACCCCCTTTCTGGCCCATCTGTCTCCTGCTTTATCCGTGCCCGCTCCTTAGCAGGCAGGCCACTGATTGATGAGAAGGGCCGGTTGTGTGTCACAAACAACCGGCCCCAGGCTGGGCCCTCCCCCAGAGCAGAGCTCATGTGTATGATGGGTAAGGGAGTGCCCAGGATTGCTTGGCAGGGCCTGCGACTCCTTGGACTCCCTGAGATTGTCGAGGCCTGCAGCCAGTCTGGCTTCCCTTGAGCCAGAACTGGGGCTGGGCAATCAGAGGGCTTGAGCTTCAGTCCAGGTGCCTCCACTTACTAGCTGTGTGCTCTGGACCGATGACACACCTCAGTCTGTTTTCTTGCCTACAAGACGGTGAAAACAGGAGCTGCCCTGGTGCTGGCAGGATTAAATGGCGGCGTGCACGTAGAGCACTCAGCACAGTGCCTGGCACATAGTGACTGGCACGGAGAATCGTTCTTAAGTAATCTTAATACGCTCATTATTCCTGAGACTGAGGGACAGGTCTTTGCCTGAGAGGCTTGGGTCTCCCGGACCTGCCCGGTTTCCAGACTTTACCTGATGAGGGGAACATCGTCCAGGGTGCAGCAGGTCTTCGGGCCCCCTTGTTCAGCGGGGTCAGGAGAGCAGGATTCGTTGTAGGACCTGTTAGGCAGGACAGAGAGTAGCCTGGGGAAAAGGGGGTTGCCCCAGCTTCTGGGCCTGTAGACTCAGGCCCTCAGAGACCACCCTTCCCGACTTCCCTTGGCAGGGACAGAAGAGCCCACTTCCCAGAACCCGCCTGAGACAGAAGCCAAATGGGTGAAGGGATGGTGGGAAACAGGTAGATGGGCATGGAGCCATGCCTGGGGAGGGGCAGGTGTTGCCAATGTCAGATAAGAGCAGTGAGGCCCAGGGTCTCCGTCTGGCTCGCAGCTGCCCCGACCCAAGAGGGAACAGAGATGAAGGGAGCTTTAGAGGGAGGCTGTCTGCAGAGTGCGCCATACCAGTTCTCCACAGGGCATGCGTGGCGGTTCATCACGGCCATGGCATACCTGCGGGAGCAGAACTGTCACCCCACACCCATGGCCCTCCCAGCCCAGCTTGCTCCCATGGACTCTTTTCTCTTGACTCTGGCCCCATTCAGCCTTTGTTCTTGCTGGGGACTCAAGTTAAGGTGGCCCTGAAGCTTGATGCCACAGAGAACCCACAGCATGGCCCCACACTCGAGGACCTCTGGAAGTGGCCCTGGCTGGAAGGTCTGTCAGGGTCACCCTACTGGACAGCAGTGGTGCCAGCTTGTCTGAAGGGGCTCTGTGCCCAGGCACCAGGCCAGGCTTTGGAGACAGCTAGTGTGATCATGGGTACCACGCTGGAGCCCCCAGCAGGACAAGGGACTCTGTGTGTGCCATCGAGCTCCTGTTGGGTCCTGGCTGGGTCCTAGCCCTCCTCAGCCTCAGCCCATTTTGTCCCTTAGTCGCCCTCCCCCTCCTTACTCACACAGTCCATAGGCCCGTGATGGAGAATGCTGACAAGCTGACAGGAAGGAGGATCCAGGCGGTCATGAGGGAGGGGAGCCAGGGTGGTGGTGGTGTAGGGGGAAGGACAAGAGGTAGGTGGGAAAAAGGGGGCCGGCCCAGCTACCTTAAGATACTTCGCCAAAACCATCAGCGGCCCAGGCCTGGTGGAGAGAGACAGGTCAAAGTCCAGGGTCCAGTGACTGGCCGCAGCCGGTGGGGGGAGAAGGTGGTCAACACCTGATTCACAGCGCCCACATTTGGGGCTGAGCCCACGCCAGAACGTGGACACCTTCTGGCCTTCACCGTGGGCCTCCGCGTTCCACCCGAATGCCACCGGTGCGCCCCAGACGCTCAGGCGGGGCCGAAACATCTGGGGGTGGGGGAGTCCTCCTCCCACGCCAGGGGGGACCGGGCTGGGGGAGGGGCTGCAGTCAGGGCCGTCCAAGGGGCCGCGCCAAGGAGAGCCTGCGGGCGGGTGCGGGGCCCGGCGGAGCGGCGGCCGCGCGCAGGCAACACCTGACTGCCGGCGCCCCGGGGAAAAGGCGGGTTCGCGCAGGAAGCCCAGCCCGGCCCCCGCCCGCGTGGGCGTACGGAGCCCCCCCTCCCCCGGGAGCCGGGAACGCGAGCCTCCCCAGCGGATCCTCCCCCAGAGGGCCGGGGACACGAAGGGGCCCAGCACGCACCTCCCCGGAGCGCCCCGCCGCCGCCGCCGCCGCGCCCTGCTCGGCCCCGCGTGGCGCCGTCTCTGGCTGCGGCCCTCGGAGCAGCCCTGGAAGGTTTAAAGGGCCGAGCGGCCCCGCCCCTGGCGCCCCAGCCGCGCCGCGCCGCCCGCCGGGACGTGGAGTCCGCGCCGCCCCGGCGCCCGCGCCCGCGCTCGGCCGGAGACTACAACTCCCGAGCCCCCGCGCTCGAGGGGTGGTGGAAGCGTGGGCGGTGCCCGGACTCCGGGGTGCTGAGAGCGGAGGGCTGTGGCGTGGGACTCGGGCGGAGGCTCCGATTCCGAGAAGCCCGTCGTCCTGGGTATCTTGTTTCTGCGGTGGAAGCTTCAGGGGAGCAGGAAGCTCAGGGGCCGCCCCGCTGTGATTGGCATCGCGCACAAGTCTGGAGGAAGCCTCCTTCCGCCGCTGGGCACATTTTTGCAGCCCGGACCGGCCGACAGTAAGACTTGGGGGGACCTCCCTCAGGGCGGCGCCCCTTGCCTGCCTCTGTCCTAGGCGAGGAGGGTCCGCGAAGAAGGGAGCACAAAGCCTTGGCTGTTAAGGTCAAGCGCCCGCGATTGGGCTTATGCTTCCCTCGGCTCAGCAAACTCTGGAGGGCTACTTTCATGAGATACTTTTTATTTTCAAGGGTCCAGGTACATAGAATACTGTCCAGAAGTCAGTGTCCAAAACCTGTTTCCTGGCTGATGAACACTTAACTTGAAACAAGGCCACGGAGACCAATGGATATCCATGGTCACACATGGCCAGGTATTGGTAAAGAAAAGGCAGACTGGAGACCCAGAGCAATTTGGGAAGAGGAAACAGGATAGTGTGGGAATAAATTACCATCGGCTTCACCAAAATGTACAGGCCAAGGGTGCCTTCTTGGACATTCTTTTTCATGATAAAAAGGGTGGGAACACGTTTCACATACCCGAAGTGTATGTGGCACTCTAAGCCCGTCAGGTGCTGGCATCCCGTGACAGAGCACCAGGGCTGACAGCCGGCTACCCGAACGGAACATGGGCCCAGGCTGCCAGGAGCAGGGGAAGCTTAGGTCTGGCAGCATTGGTGCATCAAAGGTGATGTGCAGAAACGGAGCCCGGTATCATGAGGAAAAAATGGAGCAGATAAACTGCTCAGGGGCTTGAAGGAGCAACCTTTTTTGGACCAAATGGAAGGTAGAAATGGAAACCAGAAATCTATTGGAGAGCGCTTTTCCGAATCAGGACAAATAGTTTAAGCAGGGCCAAGAAGTTTGGCTGAGCAGGGGCGCCTGGGTCCATGAAGCGTTTGCCTTCAGCTCAGGTCATGATCCTGGGGTCCTGGGATTGAGCCCTGCATAGGGCTCCTTGCTCAACTGGGAGCTTGCTTCGCCCTGTCCCTGCCCCTTCCCCTGCTTGTACTGTCAAATAAAATCTTAAAAAAAAAAAAGTACGGCTGTGCAGTGGTCACTGTACAATACCTGGCTGAATGGATCAGTGGGGTTTCGCCTGCCATGCTCTGTGTCCCAGGACACAGAGGTATTGCTTTCTAAATCACAGAGAAGCACTATCTTTCTGCCCAGGTGTGTTTCCATTTGGAGCAGGCACCTTTTTCTCATCTGCCCAATGGTGCTGTGAACCCTCAGCATTTCCTCACTGGAAGCTTTGCAAGTCTTAGTCAACACTTACTATATCCTGCTGAGTTGGGTTTGAGTTCCTATCCAACTGTTATCATGGGGAAGACCTGAGAAGGTACTTAGGACCTAAACTGGCTATTCTAACAAAGTGGGGTAAGACGGGCACTACAGAACTGTGCCAAAGAGGCAAATTTTGCCTTAATAGGATAATAGCAGTCCTTAAAGTAGAATTACCCCAAGACAGAACTCCCTATGACAGAAGGGCTCTTCATGGGTAGTTGGCAGGGTGGAGTTACTTACCAGATAAGAAGTGGGACCAGACATCTTTAATAGTCCCTGCTAGCTCTAATGCTACGTGAGTCTAGTTGTTATGCTCCAACCAGGACGGTTCTTAAAATAGTCAAGGCAAAGCAAGAGATGAGATTTCAAGTGCTGATCCTGTGCTGCTGAATGACTTGAGGGCAGGCATTTAATCTTCACTTCCCTATGTACACAAGTGATTTCAAAACTCTTGGCAAAAACAGTGCTGTAAAAATAGTTTATTGCTTAAAAAGAATACTGTTTTCGAAAAGTACCGCCTTCCAAGATTTTCAAATAATTTGCACACTTCATTCACACAGCAGAAACATTGGAAATGAGAAAACAGAAGAATATATGGCTTGTTATACATTTAACACAACCAGTGCAACCAGTCTCTCATCCTGGAGGCTCTGAGAAGGCAAAGGAGCCATATACTCAGGTTTTTACTTCTGGCGTCACTCTAACTACTGGAGAAATTTGGGTGGGTGCCTATGGCTTCTTGACCATCTGAGTCCTTAGGGATAGGATAGGAATTCAACGAGGGAGCTGAAAATGTTTCAAATAATTGTTAACATTCCGTGCTGATTATCCCAAAAGGCTCAAAGGTAGGAAAGTAATCTGTCCTCATTCCTCTTTTGATATGCAAAGGCCTCATTTATGCTTGTGAACCAGAGGGGGATCCACTACCCTACTATCCATGCATCCTGGCAAATGCACAGCAGTTCGGATACTCACTACTTCAAAGGGTTTCTTCCAGCCCCATGGGCTAATCTCTAGTTGGCAGTGCGCCTCAGAGTGGACCATGGAGGTGAAATGCCCCTGTCAGAGGCTCATCCACAGGGAGAGTCATTTGTTATTGCCCACGTTGGTTCTACTGGCTGGCCAAGTGCCACAGACTCCTACTCTCAGTACAGAAAGCTTTACATTCTTCCTTTTCCTTCTTGCATTACATTCTTCAAAGATTTCTAGGCTTGTCAACTGGCTAGAACTCAAACTTTAGTGTTTACTCTTACACAGCCCAAAGCCCCTAAAAACCCCAGATTCCTTCTATTTATAGTATCACCCATGGTGGCCCAGGAAACAGAAAGCCTTAAAATCCAAGGCCTACCCTCAGTAAGTGAAGAACATTCATGGGCATGAGATAGGTCTATGAGACTAGCAGACTTTTTTTTTTTAGACAGCCAAGAATGCATCTAGTCAAATGAGTGTTCTTTCTGAAGCAGACTGCCAGAGAGCTCCAGTCAGTCTGACACTGTTGCCACTGTACCAAACAGCATGGGGCAGTCCTCTGTAACATCTCTAGAGCCTGTGGGAAATGCTCTGTAACATGCTCCTTGATGGGAAAGCAGTGATTTCTGAAAACAGCTGGAAGATGTCTGGAGTCAAGTCTGGTGAATAAACTGGATAGTAGCAGTACCATCCTGGACCCTAGAGGAGGGGTGGCAATAAGCAACGAGCCTGAGCTAAAAGGCTCTCAGCTGGCTGAGAAGCAGAGAGGCATTTCAGGCATATCCGGAGCTGTGGCAGCATCACCACCAACAGGCCTCCCCAAAAGGACAACCTCCCGTTTAAGTACCAGGCTTAGTGCTTCCTGTAGTCCTACTGCTTAAATTAGCTAAGAATTAGGCTGCTTTCTTGGGTGGAAAATATTTTATATGCACTTGATAAGCAAAATGCCTCAAGAAAGAAAGTTCACAAACAAGGAGTTCCAATCAGTCTCTTACCTGAGAGTGTGAGTACATGACAGACATAAAAGGTTGTATTAGGTACACACTTCCCTTCTCACAAACAGGAATGGAGGCCAAAATTTCAGGTGCCATGCCCCCAACCTCGTCTTCTGGTCTTGTTTCTGAATTCTGTAATAAATCCGTGAAACAGGCCATCCAGTTGTGAGCAGACCCAAAAAGTATTTCCACACTAGGAAGCCTAAGAGTTCCAGTGAAATCCTATGTCCAAGTCAGAAGATCAGTTGAAGAGCTGGAAGACTAAAATCCCCAGGCCTCTGAGCTGCAGGAAGATTGGGGAGAGAGTATGGCACAGCCTCCTTCACTCGGAGACTCTGGAGGATAGTTAACATTTTAAGTCAAAAGGCACTTCTAGCCTGGCTGAGTAAGTGGAGGGCAGACTTTCTCCTCTGAAAGTAGAAACGAGCCCAGGACTGGCAAGTTTAAGGCATTTAACCTTGGGCCAGCTCTGTGGGCCAGGAACACTCTGGTCCCTGGCTCCCTTCACAACCAGGCCCATCTAACTTATCTACCTCACTCACGTTGCCAGAATTCTTCTGGGCACTGCAAGTTGTGGCTCACTGGGTTCTAATGATGTAGTTTAAGTAGCTGCCTTGCCCCATTTCTGAGGTGGTAGATTTTCAGGGGTGTAGGCGCAAACCAACATTGCCCTCAGGTGTCCTTTAAAAGAAAAGCCGCTGAGATAGAACAGCCAGACTGATCTTGAGACCCTGATGTAGCGAAAACCCCTGAGGCAGGGGGACTTTGGTTTTAAGAAGTCTTAGGGTTCATGGGCTCACTTAAACCCCATACTTTAAGTCACTGAGGTTAGGTCAATTGCTGGAAATCTGAAGTGGCAGTACATAGGATGTCTTGTGGACTTCTCAGACCTTAGCCTAACCCTGCATTAGGGAAAATGTTCACTGAGGTGAAAACAGTGATATTCCTAGGATCTTTTATTCTAAGGATCTCAGTTTATATACTCTTGGGAGATAGGAAAGGAGAAAGAATGGGGCAGGGGCAGGGCAGATGAGAGAGGCTCATTTTACTGCCCATTGTACAGGGCTTTTTTTTTTTTTTTTTTGCAACTAGGCAACTAGGGCTCCAAATAGGCAATTATTGCTCATGTTGAATTTCCCTTTGTACACACATTCAAGACTGTTAGATCACATTTGGAGAGTCAGTTTCAAGCTTGTTTTGATAATTCACCTTTAGCCTGAGCAGGGGATGGTCTGTTCACAGCTAGGGATGAGGTTGAAAACTGGAATCCTGTAGCCCTAACCAAGGCAGGTTTTGCTGCAAGAAATCCTTGCAGTTGAGTTCTGGCATCATCTTCCTAGGTCTCTTTATCTAGACAGTGCAAAGCCGTGCGGTATGAGAGAAACTTGCAAAAGCCATGGAAGGGGAGGGAGACATGCTTGCAAGTCAGTCTCAA